ATATAATAAGTATGTATCTTTGCCATATCTTCAAGTTTTGTAATATTTAACCGATGTCTATATAATTTATAATAAAATAAAATGTAATAAATATAATAATGTTTTTATCTTAATTTTCTAAAAAAAAAAATAATAATTTTAATAAAATTTACCTTCGTTGACCATAAAACCATCTAAGTACAGAAAAAATTCTTTCACACCCGGCATTGTGTGGTGTAATTGCTAAGATTTTTAATGCCAATCGTGACAAATAATTAGGCCGATCATCACAGCTTTTCCACCAACTAATTAATGTATCAGTATTATCGGCCCAGTAATAATTATATGGTTTCACATATTCATAATAGTCTTTCATTTGAGAAAGTAATACTTCAGCTGATTTGTCTCCACCACCTAATGATTTCCATATATTGATAGCAGCTTTTACTATTACTCGAAATCCACCAATTTGTAATCCGGAACCTAATAAAAATTATATAATATAAATAAATTTTATTAAATAAATAGTACAAATATAAGATAATTCTATTACTAACCACGATATTTAGGATGAAAAAAGTATCCTAATTTAAAAATTTCAAAGTCAAATTCATCCCATCTACGGTTGTAAATTTGAATGCAAATTTTTCGAAACTCAATATGATCAGTTTCTAGTGGAATACAATGTATTGCAGATGCTAATTGAACCAATTTAATATAAACATCTGCCAAAGTAGTTGATTTAGATTCAACAGCTGTAATTGCTTCTTTTGCAGGATATATAATCCGTAATAAATATTCAACATCATTAAAAAATCCCCGAGAACCTATTGTATTAGCTATATCTTTTGGAACTATATTCAGATAACTTTGTAAAATCTAATATATATGTAATGCATGTATAATAAAAGTTAATTTAAAGTTTAAATATATATGCCAATAACATTCTGCAGCAATAATATAAAAAAAAATTAAAATATAATTAATTAAATATTATACCATTATTAAACATGGTTGTAGTCTTAAAATTGAAATAAGACAATCCCAAGCAGTTGACCAATGAGTTTTTACTGAAGACTGAATTCCACCACCAGAAATTAAATATTCTTGTTGTAAGTCACGAAGAAGTTCTCCAACT